AAGAGCTCAGGAACCACTGTCCACTATTCCCTTGCCGATTCCTGTCAAGAGTCAATGTCAAGTTCACTAATCCATAGTTTACAGACTCTGCCTTTTTTCTCTTTTATAAAATTACAACTAAAATATCCCCATTTCTTATAGCTCTGTTATTTCTCATGATTCCTCAGAGATTATCCAAATGACATCTCCATCACATCTGCAAATTCTCTGCATCCTGAGATCCAATTGTGCTTACTAAAATACTTCCATGCAATCCTCTCCTGGGCTTGATTTTCACTTTTTAGTTAGAAGAACATTCTTTAAGATAGGAGTAAAGTAAGAGCTGAGGAATTTCAAGTTCCTGTTATTTTTGAATATGCCTTGTAGAAATTACCTGATACTGAATTCCATGCCAGGGGCAGCTGGTCATAGTTCTTGGGGCTTATATTTAGCCCAGAGGGTGCTGAGGAAGTCAGGTCCCCCAACTCCGGCTCCTGTGTGGGCAGCTGCATAGTTAGAGAAAGGACATCACCTGCTTACCTATGGAGGGCCATGAGCGATGTTTGGGGAGGGGGTGCCCTTTTACAGTGGCACCCTGCCCTGCTAATGTGTTCTTTCTTCTAGTTGGTGAGAGTGAAAGAGGAGACCCCTCCCTGCTTCATAGAGTGGGAATGGGCAGACACCCATAGGGTCAGGAGAGGAGAAGCAAACACACAGGACACTTCAAGCCTTGAGAGTAGCAGGGGGTCTGCCCAGCCCTTGAAGAACAGGCCCCTGAAGAGCAGGTGGACCAGCTGAAAATCACCCCAGCCGGGGACTCCTGGCCATGGCACGGCATTGCGGGCTCCAGCGGCGTCATCCATGCAGAAGCACAGGGATGGTGCTCGCTGCCATGCACCACGGCTCCACCTCCGGGGTGGATTATGCCTCGAGGGCGAATGTGCTTATAACAAAAGGTTGGGTGACTAAGGGCTGTCACACTCCAGGCATAGGGCATGAGGTCCCCACAAAATCTTTTTCAGAGCCTCAGCCTAGGTGGAGTGGCAGGGGCAGAGGTCACAAAACTCAGGGTCAGAGTCCATCCTGACTCCATCCCCTTCTACACTGCCCCCAGTCCCATGAGCTGAGCGGGACTTGAAAAGATTTGACGCAAGTTTCCTGATCCAGTTTGGCTCAGACCCTCCTTCACTGAGCTGAAGGGAAGGGCCCAGAAGCTCCCGGCGAGGCAGTCTGGCGTTCCAAGGCCGACATCAGTTTCTGCAGCAGGCATCACCTCTCTTCCCAGTGTCCTCAGCCTCTAGTTCAGAGCTTTGTCCAGCTCTGCGCTCTGGACGATACTCGCCAACACCAGCCCTATGCAGCATCAGCTCCTCTCCACTTTAATCCCACTCTGACATGGGGCTAAGCCCTTCTGGACCTACCTCTCTGCCGAAGCCAGGAGGCAACTCAAGGACACACAGGCAGGGGTGGGTGGTGCATTTCAGGAAGATGGAAATCTAGATCCTTGCCATGATGGGAAGGGGGTTCTGGAAGGCGTGTCCTCTGACAATGGAATGGGCCATCTGATGTCCCCAAAAACTTCAGCCCCACAGGGTATGTCCTTTGGTTCCAACAGCTGCCCATCTCCTCCCATCAGTAATTTGTAAATTGTCAAAACATCTTCAATGAATTGAAACAGTTTTACCTCCCAAAGGCTGGCAGCAGAATCCACACCATTCCAGTAGAATGCATCTTAATTGTACCCAGGTACCCATGGGTGCCACTTCTCTAAGGAGAAGCAAAATCACAACAGACAAAAATCACCAGACACGAAAAGACTGAGCAGCACAGAGGAGACCAACCTGAGAAGCCAGAGTCACCGGCGCGTTCAAAGAACATTGCCCGAAACAGGAGACATGCTTCGAGAATGTTGAGTCCGAATTCTTAGTAATTCTGAGGGTGAGTGTTTCCAGGTGGGCCTCCCTCAGTGCCTTGCCACACAGACACCTGGCAGCTACCTGCAGGCAGAGGAGAGGCTGAGCCTGGGGGGTGGAGGAGAGAATTTACTGCCCCTCTCATCGTCTATGCTGTCCCCCGCCCACTGCAAGGGTTGGCACCCTGTGGCACTTGACTCCCTGTCCATCTCAGGGGCCCGTGTGGCGACCACGCATCCATTGCAGAAAGGACAGGGGAGGGAACAGGGTAAAGTCTAGAAGCACAGGTTGCCAGAGAGAAGAGAGTCACGCCAGAGAACCCCTCCCCAGGGTCTTCCCTCCCCAGCTGAAGCCAGGCCCGTGGGGGCGGCTTCTGTCCCTCAGCTTTATTAGCAAAGGGAACATGCTCTGCGATTGGAGGCACAAGGATCCCTGGCTGAACGTGCTGTCTTTGAAGCTCAGCAAGGAGTAGTCTGCTCCCAGGACGTCTCCTTCCTGCAAGGGAGAAGCACAAGCGATTCTGGGTACTTCTCCATTTTCTCCAATCAGGAAGGAAACATTATTAAAAGTCACCCCACGTTCTTGATCCTGAAAAATCACCAGCAGAGTTAATAGACATCACAAACCCAGCAGAATCCACAACACGGTGTGCCTCCTCCCTCCCGTGGCCAAACACCTAGAAGGAGCCGTGTAACACAAGCAGCAGAGAAAATGATTTGTGATGGAAAAACATCACATAAAGGGAACGACGGGCCAAGATGCGAATCCAAACAGCCAAGGGGGTGTTTGTAAGTGTTCACAGCAGCAAGAACTTGCTGGAATGGCCACTCATGCCAAGGGTGTGGGTTCTCTGCACACAATGGTATGAACAGCGCAGGAGGCCAGGGGATCTGTGTCTGTTCTTATAAACGAGCTGTTCTTATGTTGCACAAGAAAAATCAATGCAAGAAAACATTGTCCTATTTATCTATCAAATATGCTGTGTTCAATAAGATTTCGGGGTGACTCTGAAGACAGCCTTTTCAGATATCAATTCCCACACAATCTGCCAGTAGGAGTTTCAAGTGATGGCGCCATCACCTTACAGCCACGCAGACGTTTTATTTCCACTCCAGTGGGGTCTACAAAATCTTTGCATTCTTTTCCTGAAGTGGAATAATTTTTGTTTTGCTTTTTTTTTAAAGAATGGAGGAAAAAGCGTCAGGATGTCTGCCAAGAACTTCTGGGTTTGGTTCCAAAGCACTCAGCGCAGAATCT